GAGAGAGAGAGAGAGAGAGAGAGAGAGAGAGAGAGAGAGAGAGAGAGCAATTACAATCAAACTGTGATCAGATATCATTAATCAAAAATCATGTGTGATGGAAGGGCACAACAGATAAGATCTATTTTGTACATAAACTTTCCTCAATATTATGTGGACATGTGTCAGGGGCATTTTTCAATCCCCTCCATGGGATTCTTTCCTCCACCAGCTGTTTCACTTTGGTTGCAGTATGGTGAAAGTAATAAATGATGGAGACAGTGGGGAAAACCCTCCGATACATTATGTGTGACCTTCAGCTCGAGACAGTAATTGGAACAGCGCTGCCTGAATGTGAGCTGATTAGGGCCGTGGCCAGCACTATAAAACTGGTTAAAACAAGAACTTTAGGCTGGGAAACTTTTGCCTGCCAACAGATAACAGTACTAATCTGCAATAATGGGCCGACATTAGTAGAGTTAAATCCGATATGAGGCTAGGTTAGGCATTTAATGGGCTAAATTGGGGCTCAATTAGGCTGAAACATGATTGACAGAGGTTAAATTAGAGTTGGTCAGGGAAACATTTGAAGCTGCCAGAGGGCGATTTAGATGCCTAACATAAAATAATTTGAATACATTCTGGTAAACAAAACTAAAACACAGTGTATTTGTATGCTTGCACTCACCCCATTCTAACTGCACTTCCTTGTGTTTGGCTTTACCCACAATCCTCGGCGGCTGGCAGGGCCCTGGTGGGACACTTAATGTACGGACCGGAACACTAACGGTGCACTTCAGGAGCGGTGATGAAGACAGGAAATCAAAACAAAAGAGAAGGAAATGCAGTTAAAGATCAGTTTGAATAACGACTGGCAGAAATGTTAATTACAGCTATCTATAATTAACATTTATGTGCAGGTTGTAGATTTTCCCACACTTTTCTCAATGAGCAACACTGATGCCACACTCCCAATGCAAATTCACAGTTTACCAGGTTACTAATCTGAAGTTGTTTTTGCCTGTGTGAATGTGTGAGTGTGTGTGTCTTACCGGGCTGTGTCCTCCGGTGGTGATGCTACACACACGTAGGCGGTAGAAGGTCGCAGGTATCAGGCGCTCACACGCACATTCTGTTGCTGGACCACTGTACGCTACCTCCCACTGGCTCGCTGCACACAAAAACAAAACTGAATTACACAACCGATCACATACATACATACAAACTGTACATACTCAGAATCCCCTGTTCTTTACACGTATGCTGCACACAATCAAATTATTAACTGCACACCACTGTGTTGCTGTTATTGTTCTTGTTATTGTTGTACCCAAACATTGTTTAACAGCGGTAAAGCTACACACACGAAACACATTTAATACTGTCGTAAATCACAGTAAACACAATGAGACGAGTCAGGGCCATCCTGAGAGTTCACCGTCGGTGCATCTTAGTGAGAGGTGAGGAGGTAAAAAAGGAAAATGAGGATATGGATACAATAAACAGATTAGAGAACAGGGGGAAATGTCTCACTGTGCAGGGCATGTCTGATGTTTAAAAGCCCTGAAAAACAATTTTCACAGTCAGCAATTGAATAGAACATGAAAGCAACATTTATTGAATGGGATGAATCTTTTGATGAATTAAAACTTTGGGTGATCGCCTACTCAATAAACAACTAACTGTATTGTATCTGATTGAATGAATACAGAGTTAAAAAATGATGCCTCTTTCCTCTCACTGCTAAAGACACAAGAGAACATTTGGTTCAAGTGCAGATCCGTGTAAATTCTGAAAAATGATGTGTGCTAAATTGATGCCAACAAAGGGTGAATTATGGAGGCTTTACTTCTCAGGAGATTAAGTGAGAGAAATGGATGAATCGACAGAACAAGCACAGGGCAGAAAGGACAGACGGAACATTTTGAGCTTTATTTTATAAGACAATGGAGTGCAAAGGGACTCAAATTAGCTGAACGTGTGGCATGGATGCATAGAAAGAAGCACAGACAGATTGATGTAAATTGTACCTTCAGAGCCTCCCTCTGAGATCTCTAGCAGGTACGTAAGAGCTGCTGAGCCCCCGTTGTCCTGGGGAGGATCTGTCAGGGGAATAGATCATTTTAGTTTGGGTTAACTTCATGCATTAAACATCAAGAATACCTGTAAAACATCTTACATTTCCAACATGGCTTTTATGGATTCAGTAAAGGGTTTAAAATAACTACAAATATTTTAAGTCATTGCTTGAGATTTTTTAATGACATATAGCATCAATCCAGAGGTCATTATACAATAACTCAAACTGCCAGGGGCTTTGGCAGATTATTTGTCTTTCAGCCAAACAAAAATGATAATTCTCTGAGCACACTGATCAAAGTGCTGCCCAAATGTTTCAGTAGCAAGGGAACTGGTAAGAAAATTCTTCTATCAATTAATTTTATATTCTCTAGATCATAGATAAATCAGCACTGATGGAAACAACCTACTTGGCTGCGCCTCATCTCATTCTTATTGTATCAAGACTGCTGCCAGGATAGTGGTTAGGCACACCCTTGGGTGTACCTATTTAAAAAAATATGTAGTAACGCAGCACACAATGAGGAAATGCAGTGCAGCTAAATCACGGTGAATTGGTCAAGCATCAGCTGGTGTAGAAATCACAATACAGTACATATGACAAAATAAAGACAGTAGTTCAGCACTGAAATGCGCTTTTAGAGTCAAATCACTAATCTGAAGGGTGATCGAGGCACATACAGCACGTTCTGTGCCATGTTTATAACATTTGAGAAAGGGCAGACTGATGGCAGACAGATGGATGATAGCAGACACAATGGCTTACATAATATATGAACACCCCAGAGGCAGCAGTTTATCAATGTTATCACACCTGAATATACTCTGCTAGGTAAAAAACGAACTAAACAATGACCCTTTGAACACTTTCATTATTCTATAGGACCATACTGAAGGGCGAATTCACAAGAATGGATTGTGACGCTGATAGCGCCAACAATTGCGCATCATTTGCAACCGTTAGCTGCCCTGTCTCAGTGTGCACTTCACAAAAGACGTTTCCCGAATGATATATCAGCGCAAACACACCCATTAAGTTTTGCAGTAGGGTGCAATTTGCTCATTTTTGTGACTAATCTGATTCTGCAATTATCCATGTGGAAAAGTACGAATTATATCTTTACACCGAGACCATCGTAGGCAGAACAATGGAAGAGACAGCGAACTACAGGTCCTGACTGACGAGGTGCAGAGCCATTCCTCAAAACTTCAGGCAAGCAATTTCAACATAACAGAGAGAATTCAACTGTACTTGAATGAAAACCAGAATATTAAAAAACTTTACAATTCAGACAATTGTGAAACCTTGGCTTTCTTTTTTTCTTCTTTCTTTACTAGTCAACTAAAAGCACATGTATAAAACAATGTTTAGTATCTTAGCAATCTACCAAGAGTCTACAACACATTCGGAATGATGGTTAAAACTATTAAAACAAGTTCAAGAAGAAGAGTTAAAATGTCATGTTCACCTGTGACTCTTTGTGTATATTTTTACTTGCATGCGTGTATTACAGCATGTGCAACGTATAGCACGCTTGCATGCATGTGTGGGTGTGTATCTTTACCCCAGGTGACAGTAAATCCGTAGGGTGTCGCCGCAGTGACACAGGGTGTGGATGGAGGGCCTGGTTTGTCTGGATTGGTGGTGCAGACCAACACTTCACTGGGACTGCTCTTTCCCTCCATGTTTGATGCGATGAGCTGCAGGAGAGGAAGGAGGGGGCGCAGGAGGACGGCACCCAGAGGAAGGACGATATGGAAAGGGAGAGAAATGGAGGAGAGTGTAGGATAAAAGAGGAAACAAAATGAGAAAAGATGGAGTGTGATTAATAGGGGCCATTCATCTTTGCTGCTTCACCTGTGCTTCACCTGGTTTCTCTGCCTTAATTTATCTTCGACGTTAATCCCTCCATTACCCCATTCTATGGAAAATCAATTTGCTTTGTTCCCAGATGTTCACTCCGGATGAACATCACAATGAACTCTGGGCTGTCTCTTTGTGTGTCTGCATGTATGTTTGTATCTGCCGCCTCATCTGACAGTGTGAGTGATGACAGGTACATGAGTGCGTGTTTGTGTGTGTGTGTGTGAAAGTCCATGTGAAGTGTTGTTTGAGATGATTACACCATAATACACAGTTGATAACAAGACACACACACACACACACACACACACACACACACACACACACACACA